GGGAGGAAGAAGAAGTCATTCTTTATCGAGAAAGGTACAAATGCCAGGGACAGGGAATAGTCAGGAATGGAGAGTCCAGTACGGACAGTGTCTAAGGCAGACCCGTTCCTGTCCTCAGGTAGCCTAGTGGTTGGAGGCTCATTGAGTCTTGCCACGAGGCAGACGTCCCAAGAGAGAGTTCTGATGCCTTCTTTCACTTACTGTTCACAACAGACTGTGAGAAAGTTCTTCTGAACCTCATTTTGTAGATGAAAAGTACCCAAACTCCCAGAGGTTAACTGACCGAAGTAAAGTCACCCGGCTGATAAGGGGGTGAGCCTCTGCTCAGGTCGGAGCGTCCCCAGTCCAAGGCTGTGTCCTGGACTCTTACCTAGTAGTGTGACCTCATGTTAACGCAGATCAATCAGGCTCTCTCCTACAGTTTCCCGCAACCCCTGGTTTGACTTGGGAGGGTAATTGGTGCAACACACAACAGGTACTGAACATCTCAAATCAGTAGCTTTCAGGGCTTAAGCTTTATAGAGGCTCAAAAAAGAGCATGGGAACATCTTTTGAGACCATGGTATGGTCACTGGGGGTGTGTGTGTGTGTGGGGAGGGGAGAGTGTGGTGGAAAGGGAGTGAGAAGATTAGCTCAAAGAGGTGATCCAGGAATTCCCAAAGGTTGGTCCTGACTCAGTGACTTGCCAGGTTAGTTTGAGATGACTCGCTTGTGGCATGGGGCAAACAACCTCAGTCGGTCCCTCACTAAACTGTCGGGAAGCGGGCAGAGAAAGTATTTCCTCCTGGGAGAATTTGCATGGCCCTCTGAAATTTGTGAAGGAAGGTCCACCCCGAGGTTCATTTGCTGATTGTTGAAACTTGCGCATATTCAGAAGGGAACCAGGATTCGAGATGGCCTAGTTGGGTGTTTTTTATATAATTTTTTCAAAGTAAAATCCTTTGTCTAAATGAAGTCTCATTCAATCGTCTAAGGTAACAAACTGGTGAGCTTCGAGCTTTCAGGCTTGGAATGGGGTCCGGGTGGGGGAGACACCGCCCATGCCTAAGCCTTTGCTTTGATCTCTGGGTCCGTCTCTGCCAGGCCTCTCCCAGGAAACTGCAAGTTCTAGGGAAACACAATAGGACAATGCAAACACATTGTTGCAATGAATACCATCCCATTTCACGTGCCTTTTGCAACAAAAGAAACTGAAGGCCCTGGAAATAATGGGAGATGTACAAGGTCGTTCCTGGGCTCGTGCTCTTTCCAGGGAACTCACCAGCGGTGGCTTCTAGGGTGATTATGAAGATCTTCCTGGGGGTGGCACTCTGCCCCCAGGTGTTTCAGAAAGGTGGTGCCTCGGGGCGCCTGGGTGGCTTAGTCGGTTAAGCATCCGACTTTTGCTTAGGTCATGATCTCGCGGTTCGTGGGTTCGAGCCCCGCGTCGGGCTCTGTGCTGACAGCTCAGAGCCTGGAGCCTGTTTCAGTCTGTGACTCCCTCTCTCTCTGATCCTCCCCTGCTCACGCTGTCTGTCTCTCTCTCTCTCCTAGAAATAAATAAAAATATTAAAAAAAAACAAGAAAGAAAGAAAGGTGGTGCCTCTTGGTGACAGTCAAAGTCTGCTACTACCGGCAGCATTTTTCAAAGTGCCTGCTTTTCAGATAGAGCTCAGAGGCACCACCCTCTTTCCAGCCGACACCCCCGCCCCCCACTCCACTGTGAATCATGAAGCACAGTGGTTGGGGAGGTCCCTGAGAACGCAGGGGGGGGCAGCCCATAGTCAAGCAGTTTCTCCCCCACTCAAAACCTTACACTGAACTGCAAAGTGGTTGTTATTGGCTGAGTGTTTGTCTCCCCCAGATTCATATTTTGGACTCTTAACTCCCAGTGTGATGGCATTTGGGGATGGTGACTTTGGGAGGTAATCAGGTCAGGAGGGTGGAGCCCTTATGAATGGGATTAGTGCCTCGATAAGAAGGACCCACCAGCAAGCTTGCCCCTCCCCCCACCCCATCTCAGTCTCTGTCTCTGTTGCCCTCACTTCTCCCTTTCCTCCTTCTCTCCCTCTCCTCTTCCCTCTCTCTCCCTTTCTTTCTCTCTCTGTCCCTCTGTCTCTCTCCCTGTCTGTCTCCCTCCCTGTCTGTCTCCCTCCCTCTCCGTCTCTGTCTCTCTCCCCTACTCATGTGAGGATAGGAGACAGCCAACTGCAAACCCGGAAGACTGTTCTCAGCAGAACCCAGCCGTGCTGGCGCCCTGATGTGGGACTTCCCAGTCTCCTGAAGTGTGACAAATAAATCTCTGCTGCGTAAGCCACCCAGTCTGTGATATACAGTCTAGCAGCCCAAGCTGACCATGACGGTGGTGATAGCCACCCAATTTTGTGAATGTGCTGAGGGTTACTGTATGGTTGCAATGGTAAATGTTACCTTATGTGTATTTTAGCACAATAACAACAACAATAACAGCAGCCACAACAACAATGAGGCTTCTGTGGCTCCCTATTTCCTAGGGGTCAAGTTCAAACTTCCTGGTCTAGTCTATGGCCTGAGCAGGAGGGCTCCTGGTTCCCTCTCTGGCCTCCCTACTTGCTGTCCTCCCTCGATATCTTCATCTGATCCAATGTTCAAGCCGCTCTATGGCATTGCCTGAACAAGTCATGTGCTTTCACTTTTCTATGCTTAGTCATAATTTTGCTTTTAGTCATGACAGCAAACACATTTACGGTGCTTACTATATGCAGATATATACATACATCTAGTGCTTAATATATGCAGGACTTTTGAGTCACGTACTCGTACTCTTCACCAATTCTATGGAATAGTCCAATTCTATGGACTATTATTAACCCCATGTTAGACGCAAGAAATGGATACTGTTATTAACCCCATGTTAGACGCAAGAAAAACTGAGGCCCAGAGGCTAATTTACTTGTTTAAGGTCACACCATGCAATGTACGAAGCCAGGCATTCCGGTTCCTAAATCCTTGCAATTAATTACTACAGAATATTGCTGGTGGTGGACTCCTTGCCGGTTTTCTGAAGAATCCCTCCTCCTCCCTTAAGACCTTAAATATCACCTCTTTTGTGAAGGCCCCATGGTGTTCCTTGGGAAAGTGTGCAGTGTGTGCAAGAGGCTCTCTTCTCTATGATGGGTAGCGATCTGCTCACACATATTTTACAGCACATTTCTTATTGTGTGGTAACAGCCGCCCTGTGGGGCTGATTCCCCACCCGAGTGTGAGGCCCCTGAAGATAGGGCGGATCTCGTTGGTCTTGATACTCTGGAGCAGTCACTGCGTGTTTGATGAATAAGTGATAGCTGCATGCACTTTCTCTCAATTTTTGTTTCTCTCAGTAAATAACAAAATCAAAAGGGGATTACTTTGGTTCAGAAATTCTACCCTGGCTCCTTCAGGGTCTTCCCACAGTCCCTGACAACCATTACCATTTTCTGTGTACCCCACCAGGCGAGAAGCCCATTCGGATACACTTTCCATGGTCCACATGAACAACAAACACTGCTTTTGCTTTTCAAATATCAAATGACTGGATGTTCTAGGGAGATCTGAAATTATAACACGAAGTATGATTTTTCTAACTCAAAGTCCCTCCCCTGAACAATAGGACCATCTTCCTCCCCCTTCTGAGAGGTATTGGGTAGGACATGTGGGGGAAAGTGGATCAATGTTTGCATAGATGGGAGTATAAATAGGAGCAAGAGAGAATGGGTGGATATTTGGTGGATGAGAGGATGGATAAAATGGTGAATGGAGGGGCACCTGGGTGGTTCAGTCGGTTAACTGACCGACTTCTGCTCAGGTCATGATCTCACGGTTCGTGGGTTCGAGCCCCGAGTCTGGCTCTGTGCTGACAGCCAGCTCAGAGCCTGGAGTCTGTTTCAGATTTTGTATCTCCCTCTCTCTCTGACCTTCCCCTGCTCATGCTGTCTCTCTCTCAGAACTAAATAAAACATTTTTTTAAAAAAAGTTTTAAAAATGGCGAATGGATATGTGGATGACGGATGGACATGGATAGATACACTGAAGAACACATGTGGCTGGATGGCTGGCTGGAGAAGAGGACTGCATACAGACGGAGGGATGTAGGTTTATGAAGAGGTGTGGAAGAGTGTATGGGAAGGTGGGGGAGAATTTGTATGGGAGCATCTTTGGAAGAATACGTGGGGGATCCATGGATAGAAGAGAGGATGTATGCTTGGATAAGCGGATGGTAGAGAGGATGGATAGATGCATCAGCCCTGGAGGGATGTGAGCAAAGATGGGTAGCTGATGAATGGACGGACAGAAGGACGTTTGGGAGGATGAATGGGTCACTGACTGGATGGATGAATGAGTGGCTAGGTCCAGGTGCCAGCCTAGGACTGGGAGATGACACACGGGTTGCAGGAGGGAAATAGCCGCCCCATGGCTGGCCACCCTTAGCTTTCTGAGCCGCCCTGATAAGAAGCAAAACTCCACTGGAGCCGTGCGGAACTCTGCTTCTCTTTCAGGGGAAGAAGAATGCGCTCTACCTCTTCCCTGGGGAGGAATCACAAGCTCCCCACCCCTCCTTGCCACGGGGAGCCGGGGAGCGCCCCTACCCAGGGCGGGACCTCTCCACGATCCCATCTCCTCTCCTAGAATATCCAGCCGCTGGTGAAAGTCGGAGAGATCACTCTCCAGCGCCGTTCACATGGAGCCTAGCGGAGAGGAGGGGTCGGAGCTGGACCCAACGGGACTAAGGTTTCAGGACCCAGCCACCCCCTTGCCCGGCCAGAGGCCGCCCTTGCAGCGGCCGGGAGAGGAAACCGCTGCGTCCCGGGGCTCACAGGCACCCCGGGGCTCCGCGGCCGCCGCCGCCGAGGCCGCCCGGGCTTACCGTCTCCGCGGGGCACGGGGCGGGGGCGGAAGGGCTAGCGCAGGGGAGGGCTGCTACGTCTTTAAACCTCTGCCGCTGCTTAGTCACAGCCCCCTTGCTTGGGTGTGTCCTGCGCTCGCTCCCTCCCTCCCTCTTAGGTCACTCTTTCAGCCCTTGAATAAAAACTGCACCCAACTTCCCAGGCGCCCTCATTGCCCAGCCGGACCCCAGCCCCCGATAGGCTCGGGCCGCCCAGCTCGCCCCGCGCTCCGCCGGCCCCCGCCCAGCGCACCGGACCCCGCGCTCGCCCCCTCGGTTCGCTCGCACCATGGACAAGTTTTGGTGGCGCCTAGCCGGGGGACTGTGCCTCTTGCAGTTGAGCCTGGCGCAGATCGGTGAGTGCGGCGGGGGGCAGCGGGAGGCAGTGGCCGGGAGGCCGGGACGGACCCTGCAGCCACCTGGCTGAGCGGGCCCCGGGGACCGGAGGCGAGCGGCCGGCGAGCGGCGTGGATTTGGTTAAGGAGAGCGGGGCGAGGATTTGCGCTAAGCTCTTGGAGTGTGTGTTGGTGCGAAGCACCGTTTTGCTGAAAGGAAAAGAGAAAGAGCGGAGAAAGTTGGCCGGGCCGGCTGCTGCGCGCAGTTTGGGGTGAGGTCGCCGGCGCCGGAGCACAAGGCAGAAAGTAACTGTACTCCTGGTGCGCGCAGCCGGTGTCTGGACGGACAGACTCCTGTGCCCAAGGGTGCTGGAAGCCTGGCTGGGCTGTCGTCGGGCAGGGCAGGGCGAGGCGGGGCGGGGGCCGGGGCTATCAGCCAGGTGGTCATAGAGAAGGTGGTGTGAGAGCTGGTGGCGGTGAGCCTTCCAGAAAGGGGTGCCGGCGCCCTGCGGCTCCCCAGTGCGCCTGAGCCCCAAAGCTCTTCCAGTTGGCTCCAGTCACTGACTATTCAGCGCTTGTGGGAACTTGAACCAGCTCTGTGAGGTTCTGGGTTTCCACGAGGTGCCAGCCTGGGGCAGGGAGTGTGAGGAGGAAAAGCAATGACTGAGCCAGCTACTCAAACCCCCTGCTCCTGCCAATCAGTTAGGGGAAATCCAGACAGTAACGTGGCTCATGTTCCCAGCCTGGCAGCCCCAGAGCAGGGAGGGGCGCCCGGGCGTCAGGGTGGTGTTAGGCACCCTGGAGCTGGGGCTGTATCTCTCAGTGGCTGTGGAGTGGGTGGCGGCGTGTGAAGCAGTCTGGTGAGACCGAACTGCACACGTCCCTTCCCTTTGTCCGTGTATGTACAGATAATTACATGGCTGATTTGCTTATTGCTAGCAAAATTAATTCTTCTTTTAAGAAGTGCCAGCTGGGTCATTAAGACAGCTCAGCCTATGGTTAATTCCACTCAGCAAGTATTTATTAAACCCAGCTCTGGGGGTACCAAAGATACAGTCTTACCTGGATGCTTCAGACTGGGGATAAGTGGGGATCGAAGATCCAGATTCCTGAAGCAGAAAGAATAATAATGATAATAATCATAATAGTAGAAGAAATAGAAACCAGCCAGCATTTACTGCACACTTTCACTGTGCTAAATGTTTACAAGTGTTACTGTAATTTGCCCTCACCGTGGCCCAGCGAGAAGCATCCTGTTACTAGCCCTGTTTCAGGACAAACTAAGGCTCAGAGAGGTTAAGTAACTTGCCGGTTCTCACACAGCCCGAAGGATTGGTGCGCGTGTGAACCCAGGTCCGTTAGTCTGTGCTTAGTGGGAATATGTTAGACTGCATGTATGGCATGGATGTACTTGGAAAGAGTTTGGGGATGGAGGGTTGAGGTGGACCAGAGGCCATCGGAGGCTTCCAAGGCGAACTGAGCTCCACCAAGTCTTTGAAAGGCAAAAGCACTTGGGATGCCAGGGAAGAGAAAACCTGGAGTGCAGGGAGAGGGCTGGGCCGGGCCTTCTCTGTGACCTCCAGGGAAGTTTATTTGTATATTACCTTCCCTGAGACCTCCGGGGAGGTTTATTTGAATTACCTTCTGGTGATGTCTTCTGCTTTGTTTCTGAGGATCTGGCTCCTGACTCCTTCCAACTGGTCTCCCTGATTCTTCTTAAGGGTCACATCCCCAAATATTGACACTGTCCTGACCCAGAGACTAGAGGGCTCACTCCTCCCCGGGCTTTCGCGGTCCATGTGGGCAGCGTCATTTGGAGGTAGCACAAAAAGTGCCAGTAGCAATAACTGCCTGGGCCTTGGCTTTCATGTGCTTGTAACGTTGTTTGGAAGGAACTGAGACTTGGAAGGGAGACGTGACTTAACAGCAGCTTGGCTGGGCGGGCAGGGAGGGGAAGGAGGAAATGAGGGGTAGGAGAGCCAATACTATTGCCCCAGCGCCCCTGTTGGGAGTGGGGGGCCTCCAGAAGACAATGAGGAAACTTTGGAAAGGAGCAAGGGTTTGGGGAGGAAGAAAGGGTCCATGCTTCATACTCGAAAGCAAAAAATAGAGAAATGGCCAAATGGAGTCAAGCAACACTGAACAAGAAATTAAGTTGGAAAACAGACACTGTGAATTGGGTGTCATATGCAGTAAGAAGAAGAGTAGCCCTGGGTAGAGGGCAAGTGGGATGAGCTCTCCCACATCTTACCGCCTCCTTTCCCCTGTGGGCGGGAGGTCATTGCTGGGGAGTTGCGCCCCTGGCGTTGAGAAAGAGGGGTGCATCTGAGAGCTCTTGGGGGTGATGAATGCCCTCTGCTCCCTGGGAGTATGAGAGTCCTTTCTTCCTGGGAGTTAGGGCTTTGGCTGTGTTTTCGCAGGTGGAGAAGCAAAAAATCCATCACACTGAGGTTAGCATCATTTAATTCAGTTATTCACCAGACACACATTGGACATCTCATTTCCTGCAAAGGCGCTGTGCCAAGTAGGCGTGTTTGAGGCTGACAGCCAGTAGGAAGTGGTTCCATTTTCTTTCAAATTGCCCCACGCGGAAGCAGCATGGGCAGCAAGGAATTCTTAAGTTATGACAGGCCCCCTTCCATTCATTCAAAAAATATTTCTTGACTCATTGTCATAGACTCACCAATGGGGACTCCAAGGACCATTTAGAAAAACCCTTCTTTTTCCCATGGAGGAAGCAGACCCTGCACAGAAGGGAGGAGTGACTTTCCCTGTTGCAGACAGACTTAGGGCTGGACATTTTCCATCCACAGGGCTCTGAAATACCCCCATCACCAAGGACTCCACCTCTGTCCCCGTGGTGAGCCTAACGCTGGTTTGATGCCCTAAATGCTACCTTCAACATTCACTACAACTTTTTATTTTCTCTATAATACACATGGTTTGAGTTTAAGATAAAGAATAATGATACATATTTCTTACCACAAAACAAAGTTGCTTCTCGAGGAAGAGCCTCTGTACTGTCCTGGGAGCTCCCAGGGCCTCTTGGAGCATGGCCGGATCGCTCGGAGTTAAAGAGCACCCCTGTTTGAAAAGCCTGGCTGCTACTGCAAAAGAGGGTTCCAAGTCCCAGGAAGTGTATTTACTGAGAGCACTGGCTCTGGGCGAGGCATTCAGCCACAGGGGTTGAATAGATTATTCTCTATAAGCCTCATGATGTCCTAAATATGTTTAGTTAACCCCATTTTCTAGACCAAGGAGTCGAGGCTCAGGGAGGTGGCATGACTAGCCCGAGAACACACAGCCACAAGATGGTGGAGCTGGGGTTTCCCATTGTCTAACAGTCCCCCGTGTTAGACTCCGATGCTTATGCTCCTTTGATTCACTGCTTTGGAAACTGTGTGTGGATGTCGTTCCCATATCCTCCCCATCCCTTGTGACCAGCTAACGCGAAGCCTGGTGTGAGAGGCTTTCTCGCTCCCCCTGGCAGGCTGTGGGCTCTTAGCTGCTCTACCCTGCCCTACCCTGGACTGTCTCTCCCCAGTCTTGGCCACAGCTGTCAAGAGATGCCAGCCTAGTTATTTGTTACTAAAATAAGTCAATTCCCTTATCAGAGCCCAGCTGCCCTTCTAGACATGCTCTCATTTGCAGGCTTGGAAAAAAGGGAGAGGCTGTTCCTTGTCTAAGAGACAAGTTAGGGCAATGTCCTCTGCCTGAAAATTAAGGAGGAGGCCTGCAGAGGCCCTCACCCTAACCCTGCAAGCGCTTTAGATGTGTTGACCCAGAAAGCCCCTCCTCACACACTCACTGGAAACCTTCAGTGTTTATTTAGCAGGCTGTCCATGCCCCAGAGAGGGAAAGTCTTGGGGACCCAGGTGGTAGGCTGACATGGTTTTCTACAAAAGTCTAGGGTCTTGAGCTGAAAGGCAGAATGGAGCTTTAGGTGACATGCCATCTCCCAGGTGAGATTTCAGATCAGTCTACAGTGTCCAGGCTGATGGTTTCAAGCTGGGATTCCCTGACAGAGTGGAGGTGGGCTGGTGCTGGGTCTCCCCATCAGCAGGTCCCGGCCGGGACTGGGCTGTGCTGGGGCTCAGCTAGGGCTGAGCTATGTTTCCCCAGCACCTCTGTTTCAGCCAACTCCACCCAGAATCTAAAAAGGAAGTGGCTCTTGTGAAAGAAGAGATGAAGCAGGTGGCAGATGCTGACAGACAAAGCATGGTTCTCAAAGGGGATCTTTTCTGCTTCAGAAAGAAATTCTGGGGGATTGCACAGTGAGAAGCTGATGAGTCAATTTCCTTTGTGTTCCTGCTTGAATGGGAAGCACACAAGTGTTCTTTAGACTCATCAGGGTAGACTAGTGCCTCCTACCTTAAATTCAAACCCCGCTTTTCACACACTGAGCAAGTTGAGATGCTTTCTTAAAAAGTGCACTCCCCCAAAGCTGGCCATCAAGGGTGCGGGAAGCCAGACCAATCCAAAAGAGGTAGAAGGGGGTGTTTTCTAGTCTGTGGTTGTGGAGTCTGGCTTGGCATGGATAAAGTGATGCCAAAGTTTCTAGGACAGTCAGGATTCCAAAGTGCAGATGTTCTACCAGTTGACACATTGTATATATTTTGACTAAGTGTCTATATACTTTTCTACCAATAAATGTATAGCTTCATGTGATTAGAAGTCAAAAACTTTGCAAGGCACCTCACTCAAAAGAAATTCACATCCTTATAGCTCCTTAATGGATTGAGTGTCTGATTCCATTCATGTCTGGTCCTGAAAATGTGTACTTTGGAGAGAAATATTTAATATTTCTCTGCCCTCCACTTCTTTTTTTTTTTTTTTAAATTTTTTTAATGTTTTCTAGGAGAGAGAGAGACAGTGTGAGCAGGGGAGGGTCAGAGAGAGAGGGAGTCACAGACTGAAACAGGCTCCAGGCTCTGAGCTGGCAGTCAGCACATAGCCTGACGCGGGGCCCGAACCCACGAACCGCGAGATCATGACCTAAGCGAAAGTCGGACGCTTAACCG